CTTGTATTAATAATTGAATACTCATCAAAAGTTTGCTTAATAAGTACAAAATTAAAGTACAAAAAATAGGGAGTTCTGAGAAGTGTTTCATCTGGGTCTTAATGTTCCACAACCCGTCGCTAGGGGCTGCCACAGACAACTGGACAGTGTACAACCTACATGACTCTACAAGTGGTTCTGCTCTCGTGAACTCTATTGCTTATGTTTCTTAACTTGGTGTCTCTGGTCTCTGGATAGTTTAGGACCATACTACTAACATTTGCTTCTTTATACCCCTCAATTCCCTATTGTATTTTGTTGTACTAAAATCACTGATAATGTTGTTCATTGTTCTTAGGAAAGTAGCTGGTTTCTGGAGCCTAAGAGATATTTATTCTCCTAATTCTCGATCTGGATTTAACTATGTTAACCTTCTGAGAGTCATCATATGTCTTTTAGCTTCATGTTCTAGCAGGTGAGAGGCAATCCACTCTTATACACTGTATATATACATGTAGGCTACTAACAGTTTGCCAGACTCCTAGTCTCCTTTGAAGCAACAAAGAGAAGTGGCCAGGAATATAGGCTCTGGAGCCATGCTGCCGGGGTGGGAATCCTAGCTCCAGTCTGTTCATCTGATAAAAGAAGGTATAACAGTACCTACATCATTGGGTCATTATGAGAATCAAATATGTTCATACATGTCAATGGCTTACAGTAGTGCCAGAAACATAAACATTAAGCACTAGCAATTATTATTCTAATTTTACTATATTCTATGAGTCTATTATCCTCCTATAATCTCTGATTGTATTTATTCCCTGTCTTAGTCCATTTTGTGCTGCTATAATGAGTTACTTAAGACTGGGTAATTTAAAAAGAACACAAATTTATTTCCCCAGGTCTGGAAGCTGGGAAGTCTAAGATGAAGGTGCAGCATCTGGTAAGGGTTTTCTGGCTGTGTCCTCCTCCCAGGGCAAAAGGTGGAAAGTCAAAATGCCCCAAGGACCCTTGTGATTACATAAGACCAGCCAAATAATTCTGGATAATCTCCTCACTTCAGACGAGCTCATCCTTAACTTAATCTTGTCTTTAAAGTCCCTTTTCCCATATAAGGTGACATAATCATAGGTTCTGGGAATTGGACATGAACATTTTCAGAGGGCCATTATTTTGCCTACCACAAAGGGAAAAGCAGTGATAACCTCTCGAGATCATTTAAACCAGTAGTACACAACCAAAGGCAATTCTGTTGCCCCCAGGGGATATCTGGTAACGTCTGGACACATTTTAGTTGTCAAAATGGGTATCTAGTGGGTAGAGGCCAGGGATGCTGCTACACACCCTGTATTGTACAGGCCAGCACCCAAAACAAAGAATTATCCAGCCCCAAATGTCAACAGTGATGAGGCTGAGAAACTGACTTAAAGCATAAAATTCCCTGAAATCTTCTAAGTTAGGAAGATTACAGTGCAATGCAAGCCAGTTTCAGGATTTAGATTTACATAGAGAAGTCTGAAAAATCACATACAGGCTCTAACTCCAAGTTTTTGACAATATTATATGGTAAATAAGTGATGAATAATATACTTTAATAGTAGGTTTTGAATTCTGACTGAAGTTGCTATTTGTTAAGTAGTATTTGCTTTATTTTATGTCTGGTATAATCTTTCATAATGATGCATTTCGCAAATAGGCAAGTTAATTTCAAGTATGTATTATAAACATCATTTTATGTATATCATAAATATTTAAATCATAGATGCTCAAATTTAAAATCTATAACACCAAACAGATTTCAATATGACCCACAGCCTTTTGCAATTTTTTTTTCAGCTTTGTCTCCCAGGCTAGAGTGCAGTGACATCATCATAGCTCACTGCAAACTCAAACCCCTAGGCTCAAGTGATCCTCCTGCCTCAGCCTCTTGAGTAGCTGGGACTACAGACACATATCATGATGCCTAGTTAATTTTTCTATTTTCAGTAGAGACAGGGTCATGCTCTTGCTCAGGCTGGTCTCGAACTCTTGAACTCAAGCAATCCTCCTGCCTTGGCCTCCCAATGTATTAAGATTACAGGTGTGAGCCACCACGCTCAACCCTTTTGCAATATTTTATTTCTGTTTTGGTATGGCTTGTCTTCCATCCCTTGACTTTAATGGATCAAAGAGAAAAGTACACTTGCCATGACATTCCCTCCACTGTAAGAAAGATTCAAATTGGAACAAACTGTCACTTAAAGTAGGAACCTTGGGTATCACTACCTACTTTTCCAATTCTCAGAAATTTCTGAGCTCAGATTGGAACTCTCTCAGTCTCTTAAAGTGATCTAGAGAATTGCTGGTAGGATATTTTATAATATTTTTTAACATATTTATTTCCATCTTTTTTCCTTTCTGTCCACTCTACTCTCCTTACTCTTCTTTATGACTTGCTCCTATGAAAGACTTCCTCTAGAGTTTTCCTAATTTGCAAAAACTGATAAAAGAAATAGCTATATTTTTTGTGGTATAATAGAAAAGATTTCCTAACCAGCAGAAGATTGTGTGTGTGCATGTGTGTGTTTGCATGGTGTGAAGAGTTTATCTATGAGGGCACATAAAACATTTGTTTTGTGTCATCATTTATTCCTCCAGGAAGAATAGTAACTATAAATATGAAAGAATATGAAAGTATTCTAATTGCTTGTGAAGCAACAGAGCAGAATGAAGAAAAACACATGGCTATATAGCAACCATGTTTATCACAGAAGCCATCTCCACTGCATACATTTCTCTGCCAAGCTACAGTTCTGCCAGGTATTTTACATTTGGTATGATTTCTAAGCTACAATTAAAAGGATACAGGTTAAATACATTTTAATGAGTTGAGACTTGCCAAACACTATTTAAAAACCATATCCCTAAATATTACATCATATTTAAGATTCCAGATTACAAATGTCACATTGTTCCTTGGGATGGGTACTATTAGGAGAAACCTGCCTAGATCTCTGAGGAAAAATCACCTGGAGGAGTTCATAAAAATATGTCAACCTGGTCAAAGAATTCAGTTTCTTCAAGAATAAAATGCAAGAAAAAAGAGAGAAAGAGAAAAAAAGAGTGAGAGAAAGAGAAGATAGAACTTACAGATTAAGATACTTCAGAGACATGTCATGTTTATTAAGGACAGAGGAACTAACCCTTAGAAGTCAATACATAAGTGGAAGTTTCTCATGTTATATGCATGAGCATATAACAGGATAGTTGATGAGAGAGAAAGGAGCTGGAAGATTTGGGAAGGAAGTAAATGGTAACTGGGCACCTACCAACTTTCACACAGTGAACCTGGACATCTCCCAGCCAAGGTACCTATACAGCCATTTCCCTGGGAAATAACGAAACTGCTTTGTTTCTGGGAAAGCCCTTGGATGTGAAAATGCATGTTAGCATATTGAGCAGCAAATAGCTAATATTTAAGCCAGGTCTCCCTCAAACTCCCCACATCACATCTCAGGGTGTATGTCCATTGGATTTGAGATTCAGAACGAAAACCCATGAAAGAGCAATACGAAAAAGCAAAGGGCACAGATTCGAGACATTGGTCTATAACCTAGAATTACATTTCCCCACTATTATTCTTCAAAGCTCTGTGAGTAACAAAAACTCAGATAAGAATACATGACAGAAAATGGTTAAAATCATCTGAGACAATTTATTTCTTAGAAAACATGTAGACATTAGAAAGGAGGTTCAGAAATCTCTTGTTAAGGGACATAGACATTGTGTTCATATCCAAGGGTCCTGTATCCAGCTACCATCTTTCTTCTCCTTGAAGAAAGGACAAATTCCCTCCTCCTTTGTTCACCACACCCTAACAGACATGACTCATATACCTCCATACAGTTCTCTGTTTCCCTCTCTGGCTTTTATTTTTTTCCTACCCTAATTATCGATGTCATCTTAAGGTCAGCCCTGGTACCTCCTCTCTTCTCCTTCTGGTAATCCAAATACTCCTAGGGTTTCCATTAGCATCCCTAAGCCGACAGATCCCAAATCCAAATTCCAGCTTCTTATACCCCATCTCTACCTTCTTCCTGTCTATCCTTACTTAGCTGCTACCCATGCTCGGACCAAACACATCCAGATCCACCTCCTAACCTATTTCTGTGTAGGCTGCCACCATTCTCCTTAGTCCCTTGGGTTTTAAAACTTAATATCATTTTCAACTCATTTGCATCCTTCATTTCATTTAGTAAGTCAGTTCTCTTGAGTCTTCCAATTCCCCCTTCCTGTCATCTCAGTTGAGCTCTCATGGCACCACAGGCTGTCCTCCTCGGCTCACACCTGGATCACAGCAGCAGCCCCCTCCTGCCTGCCATCCCAGGCTTATCACGTCTCACTCAATCCATCCAGCCTAGCATTCCCAGAGTCAGCCTTCAATTTCTGCCTGGTCACTCCCTCATTCAAAAAAAAAAACGTTTCTCTTCTATTACAATATCAAGGTTAAACATGGATTTCAATGCTCTCTAAAATGTGCCTCTATCCATCAAGCCTACGTTTTTATTGCTTCTTAATATCATGATTTATTCATGTTGTTTTATTTCCTTGTTTGGAATTTCTCTTCTGCACTCCATTTCCAAATCCTTGTCCCACCTCAAGGTCCTTTCAAATCTCAACTTCTCCACCTAGCTTTATATGACTGCATGTCACTCCCTTCTTAATTCTCATCCCTCTAATGATGTGCATTGAGAAACTTAACACTTAATAATATGAAGCTCACCGTTTCATACATGTTCATTTTCTTTCTCCAACTACATGGCATGCTCCATAAAAACAAAGATACGGTTTTCTATTGCACTATCATGCAGCTTAGGGCTGAAAACTTAATCTACTACTTAAATACATTTTTGTTTTCCTTGACTATAAAGCATGACACATAAATAAGTTATCTATAGTGAATAAAGGTATAAACAAAGCAAATAATTTTTAAAGTTACACAATAATTATAAAATAACTAAATGTAAAAAAACACTTCTTACCTGATTTTATGCAGTCTGATGACTTGCAAATACCATCTAGAAAAAGGAGGATATATACATAAATATCTGTAATAGAGGTTTTCTAATTTCTCCCTATCTTTTGTTCCTTTAAAAAGTCCCAATTAAATAAGCAATTCCTTAAAGCAAGAAATAAAAACTGAGTATTATATATCATTATCAGTGGTTAGAAAAAAATACAGGGGAATAAAATAGGCAAATCCTAAATTTAAAATGTTGATTATTAAGGAAAATGTGTTATTGTATATCATTTCTGCCAACTAAGTCCTAGGCCTATTTAATTGAAATAATCAGTTGTTTTAGTCTAGTAATCATTTTTTTCCCATTAAGAAACCAATCTTTTCTAATCCTTATTGTGAAAAACTTCCAAGACTCGAAACTAGATTTCTTAAATTCCTGTGAAGTCCTTTATAATTTCAATGACACAGCAAAAGTTGACTAATGCCTGTTACTAAAGTTGGCCATAAAATTGTGTATACTTGAATCAAATAAAATTTCACATTAGAAGCCCCATAAAGTAAGCATGAGTGCACTAAATACACTTTATTAATAACAATTAATAACTTAGCTCAAACACAAATGATATCATACTGTAGTCAAAGTTAATTGTTCTGACAGACTGATGTTACATTTTATGAATGAATCTTTCTATCACCTTCTTCAAGTGTCTCTATCCTTAATACACCTGTTAGGTAGATGAAGACTGCCTTCTCTTCTGCGTTTATGTGTGCATGAATATGGCCATAACTCACCATCATAGGTTGCATAGAGTGCTATCATGGTCACAGCTATGACAGTGAGGAGCAGAACAATGACTGAGAGACTGATCTCCAGTGGGGTCCATCGCTGTTTCTTCTTTGGCTTTGGAGTGTTGATATCAGTTATATCCATCTGACTTTCTGATCTGCCCATCACCTAAAATCTGCAAAACATTAAAATAGCAATAATAACAAATAAATAGATAAAAAGAGAAAATACACATAGAATTTTCCAAATGCTTAATGTGGCTAAATAAAGTAAAAAGTTAATTTAAGTTAGACACAAAAGTTTTTTTTTTTGGTTGAAAAGTGAAAATTTTGATGCTGAAAAGTAAGAATAGAGAGCCAGATGAATTTGACAGGTCCCGGTTATTACCTTTTGGGTTTTTTTAATATATGTCCTTGAAGATCCCAGTAAATTTAGACAAATAGACTTGGTTAAATACTCATGTAGGATTACTTCAGCAGTTCACAAGAAAATAATTGCTGTACATTATTAAGAAAGTTTTAAACTCACCCTTCTGAACTTTGGACTAACATCAAAGGTTAATTTTATATCTTGCTCCAGTGGCTTCCTTTATAAGCTCAAAAATCAATGACTAATACCTAGAGGTTTTGACTAAGCAATCATTTGAAATATAAATACAGATTAAAACTCAAAAGGAACAAACACTTGAGGTAGTTTATTTCAGTCATAAAAACAACTTTTATTTTTACAGTTCAAAATTACGACTACTGCTGATATGGGTATCTATCAACTGGTTGGATAACATTCTGAAAATGGTCACTCATTGAACCAAAAGTCAGTGTTTTACACCCTGGGATGGAAAATATTAATCACATCAATGTTTTTTGGGGGCAACTGAAGGAGAAAAAATATATATGATTAAAAATATTTCTACTTTGCAGGTCAGAGTATCAATTGTTAAGATATAAGTTTAATTTGTATTTAGAGTAATAAAAGTCATACTTCTAACAAGAGCTGACATTTACTGTGTACTTCCCATGTGCCAGTCACAGTTCTTAGAGTCTTACATATACTAATTCATTTAACCATCATAACATGGGTATTAATATTCCAATTCTATACTTTGGGAAACTGAAGCACAGAGAATTCAGGTAACTTGCTCAAAGCTACACAACTAGTCAATATTCTTTGTAAGGAGCACATTTGGTCATTGTTCAAAGTAAAACTGTATCATCATGCAAGAAACACTATTTAACATCTTATTGCAGGAATTTAGGGGAAAAATTAAGGGAGTACAAGCTGAAATATTATGTTTCATTGTTTCTTTTAGAGGCCTAGTGATTCTTTACAAGTCAGTCACCAAAGCTTAGAACGTACAATTTCCATTTTTCTGCATGACTGTATAAAAGAACATCTTAAACTAAAAAATTAGCTGTTTAGAGCTCAGCACAAATTAATCTTAGCATTTAGTTCCTAGATGAAGTGATTGCTCAGAAATGCTCTTATAGTTAAAGATCTTTATTGAATACACACAATTCCCTGAAGTTGTCTTTTGTGGAAACTGAGGCATAGGAGAAAGTAGAAACATATTCTACATTTAAAATGTGGTCTGAGAGATCTAGCAGATAACTAGGAATTTAACCTCCCCAGTGAGTTATTAATAAGTGAACCACAACTAGACTTTAAAGTTTTGGATACAAAGTCTTAAATATGCTCTCCCTTTGATTACAAGAGGCTATAAGCAAGGACAGACTATCAAATAAAAATACTTTATTAGACAATGAAAACTGTGTCTGCTCAATAAAAGTGGAATGTAATGTACCTGAATGTTAAAATGTCTTACTTAATGGTTATGTAACTCATGTTGGCTTAGTCTCACCACCCCTGGGGTTATGATATGGAATTACATTCATTGATTTTAGGCCTATTTTCATAGGGATAGTGGTTGGGCAAAGAAAAGATGGGAACAAATTTAATACTTGGATACCTTACAGAGAGGTAAACAACAAAAAGAGTAATTTTCCCAGTCCCTCCAGATTTCAGGACTGACCTGAAGAACATCTAAATATTAATCACATTTGCTCTAGTATTTCCCTTTCCTATGTGTCCCCGGCTCCAATAATATTTCAGAAGACAATCTAGAGAAACGTTTTACTGGTATAAAATGACCCACTTCTTTTTTCTAGTTCTTCCTTAAAAATAGCAATCAGTATCTCTGAAAAGTGAAGCTTGGGGTAGGGGAAGCAGGGTAGGCATAGGGTTAATGTGGTGCAGCAAAGCAAGTAGGCAGGGGTTTCTTTCTCCCTTTTAAGTTACTTTTCTCTGGCTTCTTCTCCTTACCCTTGAGACTGGGATACGAGGCAGCTGTGCTCTTAATGGTTGGGCACCTAAGGCTGCAAACAGTTACAGGAAAATTAAGGCAGTGAGTGAAGCTGCAGCAAATGATTATCACCTTTGAATAACCTGCAAACTCTTTCTCCATCTGTCCCTCTTGTAAATGCTCTGCAAATTCTTCAAAGAAGTCTTTTGCTTCTAAGTAGTACTTTTTGACAGCATTGAACAGCAGAAGAATTGATGCAAGTTTAACCTCCAGATTAACTTTGTTATTCATTTCTAGTTAATTCTGGAAGATTCGTTATTTCCTTCAAGAAGAAAGGGGACAGAATCTTGAACCACAGGATGGAACATATCATTAACATCCCGATATCCGAATATTCAACTCAACCACACCCAACCAAATTTAAGAGAGGGAGAGAAAGGGGCACAAGTAAACAAAAGAATGCAAAGAAATGACGAAGGTGATACTTGTAATCCCATATAAAGTAGGATATACAAAAAACATACCTATATTCTTAAAATATTTCTCCTCAACTGGAGATGTGTTAAAATGTTTAAACCAGAAAGCAGGCAGCACCACAGATGAAGAGAATAGAGAATTAGGAGGTCTAACTCAACAAGAACCTGGCAAACTTCAGCTTGACAATCACCAAAAGAATGAATTATTATTTTGCTTAAAATAAGATGAATTTCAAAACAATGTAAAGCATCAATTCTTATACCAATTGAGCATAAGCACCACCTTATCAGTCAAATCAAGAAACCTGGATAATTGATTTGTTAAAGGGAAGTCTCCTTATAGATTTATAGACATAGACTTATGTAAGCAATTTTCATCTTCACAGCACATTACAACATTAACTTATTTCTGCAAGTCCTTGAGGTTGTGCTATGCAATTACAGTTTGCATTATGGAAACTGAGGCACAGGAAGGAGAGAAAAGTTCCATGTTTCAACTGTATATGCAGAAGCTGGGGAGGGAGGTACTCCGGAGAAATCATCTTCTTGTTTCCCAGACATTAATTAGTAGGTGTTTCCTGGGGCCTGAACTACGCAGTTCGGGACACGAAGTCCCAACCACACTCCCCCCACGTGTAGTGTAGCAGCTATACAACAAACGACACAGCAGAGAGCTCAAGAAATTACTAGACAATTTTTTTAAGTGCTGGAACCCAGCAGTAACTCAAGGGAGTGAAGCTGCACGCCTTCATAGCCGAATTGCCGATTAGCAGCTCCTAAATGCTGACGCTGCAAGTCAGGTACTAGTTTTCAGTTTAACAAAATTGCCATTTGAATCATATATAGAGGAGTAATAGACTTGATCAAGAGGCTAAAGAGGACGTTCGCTTGCAATTACCCCTTATTTTCAAACAATAAAAATAGATTGAGACCGGTTAAGCAAGGAGATGGTCTTAAAACTTTCATCTGCAAAAGAACACCCTCACCCCGCACCGACCAAGCCTTGTGTGATTTAAGCATAAATTATATAATAGGAAATCAAGGTTCAAAACAAGATGAAGAGGTGGGAAAATGAAAAGATCTTCAGGTCAAGAAAAGCAAAAGCAGAAAAGTGAGTTAGAATTGAGGAGAAAATCCGACAGAAACCAAAATGAAAACAAACCTTGCTTCAAAAAAAAAAAAAAAAAATCTGTGTCTGCACAGCAGAATGGCAAATTCCCAGCCCCAAAATCAGCCCCGCTGCAATTTGGTAGCGCTGATCTCCGTCACCAAACCTAACTCCCCAGGCAGAGGCTGCAGGGAGCTGTGGAAATGAACCTGAAGAGTCGACCTGACATCACTCGCAGAGTCCTCCTCCAGGTCACCCTCTGCCCCGTTCCCTCCCTCACTCTTCAGGTCCCAGTTGGAGCTCCTTCGCAGGGCACGCCTCCTTCGCCCACGGCCGCGGAGTCCCGGGCGCTCCGCTCGCGCCAGACCTCAGCCGCCGACCCCTGGCGCGCCTCCCGCCGCCGCTCCCCGCGGCCGGCTCTGCCCTCCCCTCGCCCGTCCCACGGCCCCCAGCGCCCCGGGCGCGCGCGCCCTTTGGACCCTTCTCCCTCAGCGCCCAGGTGCCAGCTCGCTCTCCCGGGACTCACCAGTGGGATTCGGGAGAAGTTGGAGGCTGCTGAGCAGGCACATCCCGACCAATGAGCGCGCGGGGCCGGGCGGCGGCGGGCTGCGGGCGGGCGGGCTGCGGGCTGCGGGCGCGCGGGGAGCCCCGCCGAGCGCCGGTCAGTCGGTGCACCCGCCCAGGAGCAGCGCCCCGAGCGGCGCCGAGCTGAGGCCGGACTTCGGGGAGGTTCCGGGCCAGCCTCGACCCGGGGCGGGGGGCGACGGGAAAGCCGAGCATCCCTTGGACCCGCACCCGGAGAGACTCACCGTGGTCTCTCAGCAGATCCCGCGCCGGGAGTTGGGCGGCTGCTCCCGCCTGCGCTCGGCCAAGCTTCGCCACTTGCACATCTCCGCGCCCCGCGCGTCTCGGCGCTCTCACCCCCCCCGCCTCGCCGCTGCGGGACCAGCGAGAGGAGCAGTTCCCCGGGTGACCTGAAGGTTTCCGCTAGGTCTCCCGAACCCAGTCATTTCAAGTGAGGGGCCCGGGGCGGGGGACTGTGGTGGTGGGGAGACGGTAAGACAGTGCCCCCACCACCACCTTCCCCCACCGCGTCATTCCCATAAGGGCTTTGCCAAACATTCTTGGAATCGCTTAGCTCCGGGGCTTTCAAGAAAACAATACCCTGACTCTTCGCGATTCTGTAGTGCTGATGAAGGTTCTCTCTCCAGTGGACCTGAGACTATAATAATTAGCTTGTCTCTTTCTCACACTCTTCGCTCTCTTTCTCCTTTTTCTCCCTGCTTCCAAGCTTCCTTCCTTCCTTTCTCGTTTTCAAAATCTTCACCCCTTCTTTCTCTTTTCTTTTCTTCTCTTCCCTCCCTTCTCCTCCTTTCTGTCTTTCCCCTCACCTTCTCCTTCTTTCCCTCTTTCTCTCCCATCTTTTTCTTAGACCAATATGATTTTAAGATCTGCACTGAAACTCTCCACTTCCACCTGCTGACTCTAGGGAATCTTCTAACATGTGCACCTGGAGGGTTGAGGGTGGGAGCCAGAAAGACAGATAAAAATAAGCTAAACTGTGTCTGTTCTACCTACTAAAATTAGCTGTAACATGTCTGGACCTTTGTCAATTTAATGCAGCCATGCAGTACACTATTTCCACCTCTCACATTGAGAATCCTTCTGCAAAGGATAGAAAAACAAGGAAATACTTTTTGCACAAAGACAATTGTTTCATAAACGCTGTCTTTAGCAGCTATAACTGTCAAGGAGTTCAAACTGAAACCCCCCCTACTTTTTTTTTTTTGCTTCCATGATTTATAATTCAATTATTCAATGTCAAGTATGTGAATTGCTTTAACACTGATTGCTTTCTTTCTTTGAATCACATATAATTACACACACACACCCTAAAGAATTCATACTGAAATACCACTGAGTTTTCCTGAACCTATTATCTGTTTTTTAACATCAAAATGACTTACTGCTCGAGAGGACCTAGAGCTTCAATTTTACCAGGACATACAAGTCCCAGGGACGTCATACAAAGCCTAGCAAGATGAAAAGTCAGATCAAAAATTCCTACATAAAGCTGGGACCACTGAAAAGAAACATCAGTAGTGTAAAGGTGAACTAAGAAAAAATAAAACTTTAAACCCACTCCCACTGCCCTCCACTGTCCCTCTAGAAACATAAATATATTTGCTTTTTTCAGCCTTGACTCATCTGATAAATTTACAAGGCCTGTGAAGTGGCTCATGCCTATAATCCCAGCACTTTGGAAGGCCAAGGCTATAGGATCACTTGAGAGTTTTAGACCAGCCTAAGCAACACAGGGAGATCCTGTCTCTACAAAAAAAATAGAACAATTAACCATGTATGGTGGAACGTACCTGTAGTCCCAACTACTGGGGAGGAAGATCACTTGAGCCCAGGAGTTTGAGGTTGTGATGAGCTCTGATGACGCTACTGTACTCTAGTCCTGGCAACAGATGAAATGTCTCAAAAAAAAAAAAATCTTATTGGTATGGAGAGATATTTTAAACATGCTGTGAATAGGGAAAAAAAAAAAAAAAAAAAAAAACCCACATGCACACAAACAAACAAAAAAAAAAACACATGCACACAAAAAACAAACTTCTTGTAAGAATTCGTGATCAGGTTAAACTTCAGATGGATGTAGGGCTAGAATTTCTAATAATTGCATGGTCTGAATATTCCCAAGTTAAAAATTTATAGCAAAGTAGTTCCTGCTAGACCCTGCTAAATAAAAATTGAGAGAAATACGTCCATCTGACTCTCACTTAAGTGAAACCGCCCTTTATAAAATTAATAAAGAGCCACAAGGTGGGAACTGTGGTAGGGGAAATATATATATGTATACATATAACCAGCAATTGTTCCCTAGCTTGCTGTCCTATAATTGCTTAGTACTCCCGAGTCACACAGGTGATAGTCATAAAGATTCTTAGGTTTCCTCATTGTTCCCCTAGATAACATCACTGTTGAGAAAACTAAGGCTAGGTTTTGAGATATCTTCCAGGCCCTGAATTCTGGTGGAACAGCTGACCCACCCAGACCAGTGGCCCACACCATGGAACTGACTTAACTGGTTTTGCACCCCCCACCCAAGAACTGACTTAGCAAAGAAGAGGATTTCTACACCTCTATGGTTCAAACCCAGCCAATTAGCAGACCCAATTATCTAGCCCTTTGCAAGCCAAATTATCTTTAGAAACCCTTCCTCCCAAATTCTCAGAGAGATGGATTTGAGAAATTTTTCCTGTCTTCTCATGGTTTCTTAAGGAACTTCCTGTGAATGAATTTATGAAACAAAATGACACTTGGATGGAAGGTCTGATATGCAAGGGAATGGTAAGCAAAGAATATAGTAACAACGTAGATAAATCTAAGCAAACATTGACCAAAAAAAGCATGGTTATTGAAAAGATAAACTAAAATGTTGAACATTGGTGGTGTGTAAGTTGAAAGAATTTAATTAGAGTGGTGTAGGCCTGTAGTGCCAGCTACTCAGGTGACTTAGATGGGAGGATCACTTGAGCCTAAGAGTGCAAGAACAGCCTGGGCAACATAGGAGATGAAAGAAAGAAAGAAAAGAAAGAAAAAAGAGAGAAAGAAAGAAAAGAAAGAGAGTGAGAGGAGAAAGAAAGAGAGAAAGAAAGCAAGATAGAAAGAAAAGAATGAAGGGAGGGAAAGGAAACATTCTTTATGTTGTTGGAAAGGAAGATAATGATATTAATGAATGTATGCTTTAGATTTAATAAAATCTATGTTAATTATGCATGTAAAAATTACTATTGTAACCCCAAAAGGATTAAAATAAGTGCATGAGGCCAAATCCTGCAGATGGAAAAAAATGTAATTAAATAAAAGCCAATCTAAAGAAAGACAAGGAAGAGAAAAAATGAAATATTAGATAAGGAATTATAAGAAGTACAAAATAAGATGGTAGAAATTAAAATACATTAATCACAATAAATATAATGGAACCAAATTCTCTAGTTAGAAGACAAAGATTGGAATAAAACAAATAAAATCCAGCTATCTTATGTTTAAAAGAGACATACCTAAAATATAAGGCTATAGAATGAGTGAGAGTAAATGATAGAAAACATATATCAAATATAACCAAAAGATTGCTGGAGTAGCAATATCATAAAAAGACAAAAGACACTAAAATTTTATCAAAAAGAGTAATCAATTCAGCAGGATGACCCAATTCTAAACTTGATTACATCTAATAGCATAAATTTTAAGTGTGTGCTGCAAAAAATGACAGAAGAACTAAAATGGGAAATTGATAATTCACCATGTTAATGAGTGATCTTAATATACCTTTCTCTTTATTTGATAAATCAAGTCCACACATCAGTGAGGATATAGAAAATCTTAATGACAATATTAAAAGATTGTCCAGTAGAAACATACTTAAAAAGGGCTGAGACCTACAGAAGGGAAATATATTATATTCCTACATCATACAAAAAAAATTTAGTTTTATACAAATTAGGGATGTAAACGTGACAAGCAAATCTTTGAAAAAGTGCTATAAGTGTTAGAAGTATACATAAGAAAATATCTTTATGACTTTGAGTCAAGGAATGATTTTAAAGCCCCAAATTCAAACAACAAAGAGATTAATAAATATAATTAAAAATTGAATTCTATTTCTGTTTTTTCAAAACACACTTTTTAAAAAGTAAAAAACAAACACACAAACAAACAAAAAAAGCCACACATTATGGAAAAACACGTTCAACATAAATTTCAAAAAATATTAACATCTGGAATATGTAAATAACCACAAATAAATAAAAGCCAAACAATCTCAAAAATTGGATAAAAGGTATGAACTGGGATTACAATGAAGAATAAATAGAAATAACCACAGCACAGAAGATGAGCAATCCCATTAATTAATACGTAAGAGCCAATTAAAACTCAAGCTTAAACCAAGTTTTACTCATCTGACTTCTTATTAATGTATTATCACTGATAAGGGGGTCAAATTGTATAATCTGAAGCTGCCCTGTG